CACATGCAATGACGCCAAATGCAGGAAGATCACAGGCCAGTGGGTGGGAAGTCTTGTGGATCCAGTGGTGGCAGAGGCATCTCAGCATCGGCAGGGGTCTTCATGTGGCTCCTCCAGCCCCAGGGCTCACAGGAAGACCAGGCAGAGTCTGTGTGTCCTACCTCCAGGGAGCTACTTATCTCCTTAAGCCTCCACATGAGGTCATCAAGCAGTGACCTGATTGACAGGCTAGACGCCACCCCTTCACTCTTGTCTCCAATTGGCAACAGATCATGTAACTACCACAGATGTTGAGGCCCCAGAGCCATTCTTCACCTAAAAGACCGCACAGAAGGGGTTCCTTCGACTAGTCACAGATGACTCAGTGAAACGCCTTCATGCCTGCAGCAGCGGAGCCCCAGGCTCCCCCGACCACCTGCTTGGGGCAGGCCCTGCTTGCTCTTAGAAATAACCCTGGTGGAAGAGCCTGGATGTGGGTGGCAGCGAGCAGCGCTGGGGCACAACAGTCCAGCCCTGGGCCGCTCACAGGAAGGCAGTTCTCGGGGAGAAAGGTGGCAGTCTGCTTCCAGGACCTTGGCAGCCTGTGAAACGAAACGTCCGCGGGGCAGTTCTACTTGGGGTGGGCACTGGCTGGCGGTGGTGAGTTTGGGTAGTGTTGTTGGCGTTTTGTTTTGTGAGGGGCACGTTGCCATTTCCAAAGCACTTTCATCTGCATGATCCCACTCGGCGCTTGCAAGAGCCCTGGGAGATACTCTTTCTAAAGAGGAGTTGGGTGAGGCTTTTGGCAAGGAGCCAGCTGGAGCTGGGATTTGAGTGGACACCTCCTGATCCTTGCTCAGTGCTCCCTCCCCGCCCCGCTCCTCCCCCTCCCCCTTGCAGTCATTCTCGGAAAAGCCTGGGTCTGCAGAGGGTGTGGACGGCATGCGGGAACACGGGGAGCGCAGGGAGCCTGGGGAAGAGGGCTTCATGAAGACGGGACAGGAGACTAAATCTTGGTCAAACCCCAAGCCAAGCCAGTTCCACTGAGGCGCGTCTGACTGGTGGCACCCCCATGCCTCTTAAGCAGAACTGCACCCCATAGCGGCTTCAGTAGCTATGGGGGGGGGTTGGAAGTCATTTGCCAAATGGCATTTGTTCTATCTCGAATTAGGTCCCTCGACACAACGTGGGGCAGATTCAAGGGAAGCGGCAGTCTAAGGGCCACCCTGAGTCCACTAGGCAGTGTCCTCAGGGCTGGGTCCTGCCCTCCCTGGGACCAACTGTTCCTGTCCTCCCTCAAAAGGACCCAGCCTGGTCCCCTCCCATGAGCCCTCCTGGTCACATCTGACAGCCCCACTAGTGTTTGTTGCAGAAATCATCAGGAAGGTGGCGTCTCCCCCTCCCCTGTGCCGGCCCCTGGTGCCCCCCCACCACGGCCCCCCGGAGTGCATCCAACTGATGGAGCAGTGCTGGGCGGAGGCTCCGGAGGACAGACCTAGCCTGGACCAGATCTACAACCAGGTGAGAGCTCCCCAGAAGATTGCGAATGCTCACAAGGAAGGATGACCGTTTCACCTCGCTCTCCCCCGCTGGGGACTGGAGTCCGTGGCCTTGGACTGCTAACCGCAAGGTCCACAGCGCAAACCACCAGCTGCCCTGCGGGAGAAAGACGGAAGCTCTCTGCTCCCATAAAGAGCTGCAGAGACCGTCCGAAGCAGCTCTACCCTTTCCTCTAGGATGTTATGAGCCCGCATCAACCAGATGGCAGGGCACTTGCCAGAGTTCCCCAGTGGGAGCCCCACAGTTTCCCTGGGGCCTCGAAGCCCATCACCCCCAAGGGGGCCCGAGGACAGGGCTCTCTGAGAAGAGCTACTCAGAGTCACAGAGTCTGGGCTGTTTGCTGAGAGCCTGTGCAAAGCGCCGGGGGCTGGCTTCACTTCTTCCCATGACAACCCTGTGAAGGAGATTGGCGAGTATCTGGGCTTTATCAGGGTGGAAAAAGAGGCAAGGGAGTGAGGGAATAAAAGGCCAGGCTGCATCAAACCTGGGGTTGCCTGTATGCACAGCTGGGGCTCCTGGCGCCAGAGCAGAGGGGCCACTGTGGCTGTGGAGAAAATGCTAGCTCTCGCCTCCATGAGTGGAAGCGGTGAGGGAGGCCAGGCCCCCCCAAACTTGCCTCAGGGGCAGCAGCGAGAAGTGAGGCAAGTCTGTACATGTCTGCAAGGTAGTGGTGGAGTGTGTAGGCCTGACTGAGCTGGCTAATGGCTCCCTCAGGGCCAAGGCATGCAGCCCGAGAGATGACATCTTCATGACTCCCCTGCTGTCCCCAGCCCAGTGGGGGATTGCCAAGGAGAGGCTCGGTGAGTGAGAGGGGGTGTGCAGACGGGCGGTGAGGGAGGGGGTGGGCAGGAAGGCAGACAACAGCGAGAGCCACAGGTGCCTTTTGCAAAGCCTTCCCACCTGCCCTCTCTTCCTGCCCTCCTGGGCTTCGCATGGGTGGTGAGCCCCTGTCATGACTGAGAACTCTGGAGTGAGGGGGCTCTAGATTGTCGCCCTGGGGGTGGGATGCAGAGGTAGGACTTGCAACGAGTTCTTTTACACAGATAAGCAATTGTCTGTTGCTGTTGTGGAAATATATACACTCTAGAAGAGAAACCAACTCACCAGTTTCTACGTGTTCAGTTCAC